CAAGCCTCGAACCGTACGGTCTCGATGCCAGTCGCGCTCCTGCACTTCTACGACACCGAACTGTTGATTCGCGTTCTTCTCGTCCATCTACGTGTTCGTGTGTCGTATATATGTTCGTGTGTACACAATCCTGTCTACCGAACGCGCCCACGGTGTAAACACTTTCTATTCTGACCTCGCTCGGTTGATCGAAACGTGGGCGACGACCAGAGAAGCTAGAATAACCAGGAAAAAGTGACACGCACCGTTAAGTGGTATCGTATATGTTTTGTCCGCGGTTCGATTGCGAGAGATCGAGCTATGAAAATGACAGTGAACTTTAGTGATCAAATGGACAGTCGTACGATCGAATTTCAAGTGATTCAAAATTGTATTTACTCGCGATATACACGCGAATAGTGTAAATAGTTACGAGTTATTGTCGAGAAAATTACAGAAACGGAAATATTGGCGTGTAATTTGGTGGTTGGTTATCGGTGTGCTAGTATACGACAAAAGAATATATTTCCGTATGAAGGATTTTTTTCCCGCGCGTTTTTCGATCAAAGTAAAAATAAGTGCACAAATATCGCTTATGATACGCTCGTATTTTTACGCGGCGTGTGCCGACTTCTACGGAGTCGAATTTAATCGTACGCTTTATCGAGGTGTCTAACGTTTCGAGGATCAGCATAGCCTCGTAAAGGGTGCAACAGGACACTCGTCGCGTTAGGTTAGGTCGGTGCGTCAAGATCGAACTGGTTCCCCTACTGCGGAGTTGAAAGGATACGTGTTTCGTAGAGGTTTAAAACGTAATCGAGGATACAGTAGGCGGTTATGATGGGTGTATTGAGATGGAGGCACGATCTCAGATCGGATGCCGGCCAACAGCAGCAACAACGGCCTAATACCGAACGGTCTTCGACAGGACATAGCAATCATGCGCACGCGCATACGCATACACTGCCGAAACTAATATCACAGGTGAGTTTTTCCCGCGCTCTTGGAAATTCATTACGATAATCTTGGCTATTTCATCGGTTCTTTTGTTCCCTTTCTCCAAGTATAGAGCTTATTATCGAATTCGGAATTATCTTACCAACTTTTTTCATTCTTTTCTTTTTTTCTTTTTATCTTACTATACATTGAGGTTGGATTTATTACGATTGGATTTTCTTTAGGTCAGGGAAGATTGGTTATCATTCCGATCAAATCCGATCAGAGTTTTTATCGTCGACAGATGTCGATTTATGAAAGGAAAATATCGTACGGCTTACTGGCTACCTTTTCATTTTATGAATGGAACATATGTTCACGAGAGAAAACTATTTCAGTAAGAATCATCATTGTGAAGTGATAGTTTATAATTTTACATTTCGTTGTTTTTTTTTCAATAAAATTTGCGATAAATTGTTTATATAATAGAATTAAGAATAAAATAGAAATTTAGAATCTCATCTTAGATCATTATCGATATTAAATATATTTAATAAATAATTCGTGGTATTAAACGAAGCATATATTTTTTGTTTGTAACTCGTAATTTTATGTTTGTTGTCCTTTACGCGATAAACTTTCGCAATGTGCGTAGTTGACGAAATTTGGAGAATTCGAAAGAAAAACACGAAAGGAATATCTGACAAAATTAAACTCGTCGAAATTTTCCATCGTTTGGCAAAGATACAAGTGTATAATCGTTGGGTATAAACGAAATCCACGCGATCTCGAAATAGCTCGTCGCGTTTCACGAATAACGAGTAAATTCCACGACGGTCGTGCTTTCACGCCTACTTTGGAGCAATTAAACCGACCGGTTGATATTTTTCAGTGACACAAGGAATCGAACCGGTAAACGCAATAATGATCGAACCAGTACGCGTAACAGTTCGGTGCGTCGTTCGCGCATTTCCGGATGATCCGTTGGCGATCTTAATTTCCTTCAGCTGCGCATGCCCAGTACGCTTCCGCGTATTTGGTTTTCATGCGTTGAGCGTTGGTCATGGCGTGTCCAGGGCAGAGAGAAACGTGTACAACATCATTGTTACGCTTTTTTGCGCGCAACCTCGACGAGTTTTGAACCTGTCGGAAGGAAAAGCAGCAGAAGACTTTAGTCGCAGCATTCTAACACCGGTGTCGAGACAAAAGAAAGGGTCCAAGAAGTGGAAGGAGAGATGGAAAGGAAAGAAAAGGAGCAACGGCGAGAAACGAGCGCGGTAACTGTAACCACAAAGATCGACTTCGCGGTAATTTTCCTCTAACAACCCGTTACTCCATCGTTCTACGGCCAAGACGCTTTAAAAAGTCCTATTTTCCCATGACCGGCTGACTCGTTGGTTCTGCACGCGTAACGCTACACCCACGCTACGTAGTACTCGCCATTATCGATAATATTATCGATATCTCGACGTATCGCCAAGATTACACAAATACAAAATATTTATTATACGATTACGATTTAATCAGTTTTTTAAATCGTCCAAATTTTTGCAACTATCGGACCAAATCCCATCCAAATTGCACCATATTTTATAGTCAAAGAGCATTTAAATCGGATCTGGACGATAGCCAATTTTCTCGTTTGATAAAATTGGTCGCATTTACCCATCCCTTTCTGCTTTCTGAATTCAGATATTTGATCTTATTTAAATTTCGCGTTATTAAACATCCTTATCTATCTTTGCATTAAAATTTTGAACAATTTATCCAAATTTTCCAAAGAATCAATGTACGTTAATCAATCGTATACCGTTTTTATCGTCGTAACAACGAACAATTTCGATCAGTGTAAACGCAGCTTAAGATGTTGACCAGCATCACGCGCGAAACCCTATATACGTTGACACAATTACTCGAAGGGCCTCGGTTGTCCATCTAGTTAAAGTCTCGCTTTTAACGACTCTCGCCAGCACGTGCTGTCGACGACAGGCAGTTCAATTCTTGTCGAAGAATTGTTCGTCTGATTGGCGAGAATTACACTCGTCGAAAGCGAATTAAAGTTTGTTTAAGAGTTTCGAAATCGTGACTTGAAACAATCGTATGCATATAGTAAGGGAAACCTTACTCTACCTTTTGCACGAGTTTTGATCTTGCTTCGTAGATATAATTGGCAATATACACTCGCATCGACGTGTGATTTGAAAACATGTATATATAAAAAAAAGAAAGACGATCAAAATCGGATTCGTTTTTCTTCGGATCAAAATATTTCGCGAACGGCTTCAGAAATCGATTATTTCACTTTCACGAATGTTTCATAGCAAGGAACGCGAGACCAACAGCTGTTGTTCCATGGAACAAGCACGTGTTCATCAGCAAATTATTTCCCGTTCCGATCGAAAGTCTTGAAACTCGTTTCTCATCGGCAAGAATTTCTCATTCAATGTTCGCAATAAACGAATGCAATTTTTTTAACGTCTTCGTTTCGCTCGACGAATAAATTTTATTTGTTATTAATCGAATCATTAATTTATCTTCGTTTAACATCGATCGGTTTAAGATTTTCGATTTTGAGTATAGAATAATATCCTCCTCTCTTATTTTATCGTCGGCTGAACGAATTATTGAAATATATTTTGTTGCCACGTGACCGATAAGCACGCAGGTTCCTTCTTCCTTGAAGAAAACTAGAACACGACCTAAGATAAATTCTCGTATTTTGCATAATAAATGAGCAAGCTTTCAACACCGTTGGTGAAGGTTCGTGACAAAGAACTCGTCATGCCCTCGAAATAGTCGATTCTCTCGGTGTGTGATTCATTGGCTCTGCCCACTTCTCATTAACCGTGACACCGAGATCGATAATAATTTACGTAATAGACTGGTAATTTCGCGGACAATCTTTCTTTGTCATTTCTCCCCCCTCCATTCATCAATAATATTCCATAATAACCAATATATTCGAATAATTCTTTTTTTCTTAACAACAACGAATCCATCGTTATATTACACAAAATAACAGAATATAAATTTTCCCTCGTAGTTGAAAAGACTTCCATTTTTTTTTTTTTTTTTTTTTTTTTTTTTTT